CCTTTTAGAATATCGTGATGGTGCTTGACAAGCTCCGATGATTTCACCTCCCTAATAGCTTTCTCTAATGTTAATTTATCATCTTGCCTTAGCCTTTGTGAAAGGTTTGCATTTTGTATACCGACGACAATTCTATCTCGTATCAACTCGTCTTTTAGTGTTCCAAATTGGCAAGTTTCCGCCAGTTTGTACAAATCTTCCACAAAGTCGATGACTGATTCTTTTTCACCCTGTATTCGTTTATTGAACCGAGCACGCTCGAAAATTGTGTTCGATCGACCAACAAAGTGCGATGCAAATTGTTCTACAACATTTCCGTACACCATATCTCTTTCGCTTATTTGAAAGCTTTTTAAAAGATCATTGGTATTGCCTCCCATAGCATATATCAAAGTATTGATTTGTACTTTATCATCTTTTTCGTCTAAGCCAGCTGCGATGCGATAACATTCGAATCGTTCAATCCATCGCTTCCAATCTTCGGGCTTTTTCGATTCTAATTTTTCTGGCAATGGAATTTGTGTTTGAAATGCCATTTCTTATTTATCTCCACGTCTCTTGTCCACTGGTCTTTACCATTTTAGACAGGATCCTATCGTTGCCACCATGTAGAGTTTTTATTAAGTGCCTTCTTATCTAAATGTCCTCTATATATATACATTATAAGCGGAAGTAATATTCAACAGGAAGTGACATCTACACATACTCCACCTTTTCTAGGAGCGTCCCCGGATTGGGGGAGGGTGCGCATCCCTAAAAAGGCATCCTCGTCGCTTGGTGAAATACCGAAGGAAATTATCTCTCATTCTATCCAGTGATTGTTAGAATCCAAGCCGCCAGCAATCGAATTTCGCACTAGAGGCTGCCAGCCTACTAAGCCTGCCCCCGTCATGAGACATCCGTATTGATGGACTTTTGATGGACTTTTGATTGCAGACTGCATGCACAGTGAGAAGAGCATGGTTGTGCAGGCCATGTTCTATTGGCTTGGCCACGCGGTTCCATCTTCAGTGGCACAAATGATCGCGACGACTGTGAAACTACGCGGTTCCAGGGAGAGGCCGTCGACACAGTTAATCCGTGAGCGCCCTTTGCTGGCGTTTATCCCGTTATGCCGAAAACCATTTACCCATGGCTGGGGACTATTTAATCCATAGCTGAGCAAACCTTGTCAGACCGCAGGGCATGTCCACACGTCAGTGGGCCTGGCCTGTCGTGACTGAGGGGGGTTTGTCCTCCGGAGGTTTCTGTCAGGGTTACCTCACCCTTAGCTTTTGGGAAGTCAAATACTAACCGCAAGCCATTAGTATAACCGTAAGCAATTAAGCCATTAGTATAAAGTATCTGTTTGCTACAACTTTAATGTAAGAAAATTGATAAGATTCTACGTGTAAAAGATGTAATTGTAGCTGATGATCTCACCTTGTGAGCCATTCTTTACGTACATATATACATTATACGGGGTGTTCTCAAAAAGGAACAAATACAGGATGTATCAAAAAACAGTATTATAAAATTCAGTTTATTCTGAAAATTTAATTCCTGATCACCATGCCCCACTGATGCATTTTTCTGAACTAAATTCCAGGAGACTAATGATGTGCATGAAAGTAGTGTTATTTAGATTTGGAATCCTGCAAACCATTCAAATCGGCAAATAACTTTCGAAAATATGCCTATTTATACAATTAGTTGTATTGTTATATGGGTGCTGTGTATAGTAATTGCGATTGGTTCATTAGTAGTCACATGACTTGAAATAAATGCACGATTTCCTGCCAGTAAAACAGGTGAAAAGGTGCTGCTCGCTCATTTTTAAATCCTAACGAATGAAACAGCCACCAAATCGAAAACTGAAAAAAACTTTTCTCGAGCTTATTAAGCGACGAAAATCAACTATTAATAAAAAAGAATTAAGAAAACACTCGGAAGTCAACCTAAAATGCTGTGGTCATTCATAGCATTTTGCAACGAAATTTTGCCGGCCAATCCTACCCCCCCCCCCAAAACAAACGACATTAATTTTATTGAAGAGTTGTGGAAAGTTATGATTTTTTCCCTATCTAACAAAACACTTAATGTACTCTTCCTCAGGAAAAAGTGAGCCTAATTTCGCAAGAGTCTCAATATAGATTTGGTGTAGTGGACAAATGTGAAAATTATTTAAGACACTAAATATAGATCAACACATATATATTTTGTAACAATTTTGTAGAAAACATATTTATACTATTATTTCCTACATTAACATACTAATATAATAAAACTATGTTGATACGTGTTAAAAAACAAAGTTCAACAAAACACTGCGCAAAAAGAAAGTTTCTCTCTAAATATTTTTTTACAAGGCCTAAATAAATGAATCCTTACCAATCTTTAAAATGGCAACTGCAATTGTTCTGTTTTGATAAAATGACGGTTGCCAACAAATAATGTTGCTGAATGTGAGTGAAAGTTATTGTAGAACTATTGAATGGTAATTTTAAAAATTGGTATTTTTTAATTCAAGATAAGACACCTCCTTTTCTAAAGCACCAGTAATCTTCAGATGGCAGTTGGCAAATTACTATTACTCTAAAAAATGGTGTTGAGCTATGTGGGATTCATCTATTTAGCATTTAAAATTTAAAAATCAAAAGAAAAATCTAGAAACGTAAAGAAAAAGTGCAGTAATGAAAAGCCTGCATGCAGTCAAGCTACTCGTAAACGGACATCCTTGAGACCACGACCTAATGTCTGCTTACGGTAGATGTCCGTTTATGGGAAATTATGATATATATTTATTCTTTATACGTAGATATGCACACAACAACATAAAACACTTACGGTAGATGTCCGTTTAAGGGATGTTATTAAATATACGTAGATATTCACACAACAATATAAAATATTCATGGTACATGTCCGTTTATAAGTTTTATGAAAGATAACTATTCACTATACGTAGATATGTGCATCACAAAATGAAATAAATTTAGTGATCTAAAATTGTTTACTACATAAAAAATCAAACTCAGTGGATTTAGAAATATGATATCTTCAAAAAATAGACGTTGAAATTTTTCCATATTTTTCATTCTCATAACTTGATGTAGTTCTTACATGTTGAAGTTACTTTTGTTGTGAATGATTTGTTGACCATTTATATGAACTAAACTGATCACTTTCATTCTACAATCATCCATAGTTGACGTTTGCTTTGAATTTTCATGACATGTTGCTGTTAAGATCTTAATTCATATCACAGATGTTATAGTATCATTCAGTACATATATATTTCAGAGCATGCGCAAAGGCAATCGTGTGTCATAATATTCACAATGTCTGTGTATTTCTATCAAGAAGCAGCTTCAATTATAGATGCAGCAAAAAATCCCTTTAGCCATCTCTAATAGCCACAATATAGTAAAATCAAATTCTTTTTATTCTTTTTCATGATTACTTATCTGTTATGTTCACATCAAAACGTCCACATGAGATGATAATTTTCACGCTTCAGTTTCATAAAAAGTGAACAAAGTGAACAGCCAGTTTCACCATTTTAAAAATGTAAAAATTCATATCTTCCACTTTTGACAACAGATGACGTTTCAATGAACACGTGACCTGGGTGACGTTAGAAAATACAACAATAAATCCACAGAAAACCATGGTACATAAATTTGTCGTTTCTTTCATTACGTCACTTCCTGATATGAAGCTTCTCCTTCGTGTATTATCGTTTGACTTAAGAGTACACGATAGAATTTTATAGAAAGCCATAAACATATCAAACTTCAATTTCCATAAAGTATTGATTTTTAAAGTAGAACTGTTCAAACGTTAACAATCTCTGACATCGATTTTTCATTAAAAGTTAAAAACTTGTCATTAAACATCCTTCCATATACGATATTGTCCTTTGTTTTATGTCTCTCTTTATTGCAAAACTTTTTTCACTTTTGTTAACTTTTCCTGTTCATACGGTTTGGAGTGTTCAGTCACAATGGTTAAATTGTTTATAAGGATGATTAACGTCAATCATAAGTTATTTTCTAGTGGAGTTTACGATCTACTTTTTAACAGTCAGTAAGAAAGACAGCCAAATTTTTAGTTTTTCTTGAAAATATTAGCAAAGGTACCATTGCTTTATTATAAATTTACGTTTTTCAAATTGATTAAGATGAAAATATTCATATAACGGAAGTAACAATTGGGCTGTCTTTGTCTCTTTTAACAACTTAACACATAGATATTTTGCATATCAAAATGCAATAATTAAAAAGTATTAAGAAATTGATTCAGTGCAAGATAGTATTGATTTAATTAGTAACAACATGTTTTTTGTGTAAAAGAGTATCGAAAAACGTGCAATATTAAAACCATCCTACACTGAATACATTTGCATGAAAATTATATGTTTTCATGTTGTAGATATTAACAAAATATAACCAATGGTACAATAACTAACAATAGCTTGCATTTTATATGTTTGTGTGATGAGAAAAAATCAATAAAATTATTTTCTTGTGCTAGGAAAACTATTATCTTAGATACAAAATCATTAGTGTTTATGGTTTGTCTTTATTGTCATTGAATTTTCATCTTTAATTAACTTAAGCTTTTATTCATGATCTCTCTAAATGTTGATATTATCGTACACTGCGGTCTCTGTACAGAACAATCAAAATTAGACAAAAGTCGTTTCATGAAATCATACGCAAACATACATTAATTGAAATATCAACAATGATAGGTATCAAGCATAGAAACTGAACAAGATTTTCTTAAAGACAATATAGTCATTATCCAAAATGGTGAGAAATGTTATCATCAAAGATCAAATTTATCCTCGTGGCAAGATGATTTTTACGCATTGTACCGGGACCTTTATAGAAGAAAAAATTAAAGCAAGTTTGCGTTTACGACAGTAATAAAAAGTTCTTGGAAACACACTCACAAGCGGGAGAAATAATTTTACAATCTTAAAATATTTCAAATCAATCAGATTTAAGTAATCACTAATTATATACCTATCATCAACAAAGAAAAACTTTGGCTTAAAAAGTGGAAAAGTATAAATAATTTGTATGTTTTTAACGTCAAATACTTTCACATACTTATGCATGTAACTTACTAATAAATTATCAGCTGAAGGTGAATAAGCAGCGTAATTTATACAGCAAGTAACATCATGCATGTAATTTTCCATGTCGTCGTGGGCGAATAAATTGGCGATTTCCTCCTGAATTACGTCATCCCAACCATTAACAAGCTTGTCTTCATGCCACATACAGTAAATTATCTGACCCTTAAATTCAACTTTAGCAAACACCTGATACTTAGAGCTACATGCAAATACGTGCACATTTCGATAATTTTCAAAATTCACTGATAGTTCTTTTCGTTTGTCTTCAACATTGAAAAACACAAAAGAATCAGTTTTTTGACAAGCAAATGATACATCACTCACCTCAAAAATTTTTTTTGTACCTTTTTGTTCATCGAAACTATAAAAAAGTTTTGTCAAATCATCATTCCAAAGCTCAGGAATATTTTTTGCCGTAAGCAAAATAACTCCATTTTCAACAGCAACCATGTCACTAAAAAAACATTCCTTGACAACAAAGTCAAATGAGTTGAGATTGTATATAATTATCCTTGAATTTTCTTCATTGCTCCGATAAAGAAATTTTCCATTTGAGCAAAATTTCTCGTTATAAAAAGTGTAACTGTTAGTTAAACATGCACGCGGTATTGAATAAAGATAAAAGTCATATCCGTAATCAAACAAAAGAACATTGTCGTTACACAAAATGAAATAATACTTTTCTGCTCTATCAAAGGAAAAGTTAGATGTGTTGTCATCGAAAGGATCAAGAGAAAAAAACGAAGTTTGGGAATCAGGATCAAAGTCAGGAAGTTTCTCACCAGTGGGATTTACAATGAAATGATCATCCATAAAAATACGATCGCCACAACACCAAGAATGAAGACCAACAGTGAACAAAATACGAATCTCGCTGTCCTCATTACAAGGTAAATGATCGCCATAAACAATCAATTTACAATTATTCGCTACATCAAATATTTGAACCACTATTTCTTCCTCAATAACACACAAATATCTTCCAGAATTAGAAAAACACAGTGAGGTCACATTATTACATCTAATACTGCGTTTCTTCTCACCTTTCTCAACGTCCCATACTGTCAAAGTATCTTTGTAACTAGTGACCATTGTGTACTTATCCTTAGAAAAACATTTGTTGGTAAAGAACTTAGAAGTAGAATCATCACAATAGAACGGACTGAAGGAAATTTTACCATTAATATCTAATATCTTATCAAGCTGGGAAGCAAAAATTAAATTTTTGAATGGATGAAAGACAACGCAAAATTTCCTCTCTTTATATTGCTTAAGCTGACCAGCAATATTTTTTATCCATAAACATCTGTTTGTTCTTAATGAAAAAAGTTGCACGATGAATCCTTTATAACAACAGACGACGTAATCGTGATTTCGTGAAACATCAACAGAGATTAAATTTTGATTTAAACGCAATAATCGACACTTCACAAAACCCGTGTCTCTGCACTCTAGATATGGTGAATCTTTGAAACGTGTTTGAAGCATTGTGATGGCTTGAGACGACAGATTTTTGACGTCGTTGGCAACGTTTTGCAAAAAAAATACTTCATTGCCAAAGCGCATAGAGTACGTCATTACAGAATAAACATCATTAAATAACAATCGAATGTCCTCAGAAATACGAAAGTACACATCATGTGCGTTGAATAAGGAAAAATTTTCAAAAGTACGACGAGCATCAACCAACACAGAAGCAACTAAAATTTCTAAATCAACAAGATATTTACCAACATTTTCAACGATACATTCATTATCAGATATAGCAAGTAAATGAAGCAACCAATACTTGACTGAATAACTCACTGTCACATGTTTGATGATGTCATAGTTTACACCTTCAGCTTTGAGGTTATCCAAAGATTTTAAACAAAATTCTGAAACACGTTGATGACCAAAAGAAGTTTTTACTGAGTAATCATGTTCTCGATCGTTCAACAACCAATCATTTAAGGATTTGTGAAAAAACGAAACACATCCTTCTTCATTGCTAACAAACAGACAAGAGATAATTTTTCTAACCCCAAGTGATATGCGATTCGAATTCAAACAAAGAACGTCATCGATCATTTTCCAAGGAAGAGGTTCTTTAGCAACAGCCAGAGCATTTAATATTGACTGAAACTTTTCGTTACTGATATCAAACGAATCTAATTCCTTACTTAATCTTGTTAAGCAAATTTCGTAATATTCACTGAGATCTTTTGGTATGGAACCTTTCAACAAATCCTGATTTTTGACTTCGCTGCTAAGAAGTGACGCAAGCAACATAAGTCCGTCAGCTTTTTCTGCCAAACTGTTTTTAACATCAGGAAGGCTGTAAGTAGAGCCAATTCTTTCTTCAATCAATAATTTAATATCCTTTAAATTGCGATCATCGCTACAATTAATGAACAGTGGATTTAATTTTTCGAACTTATTCAAAGCAACTTCGTTAGGTCTGGTTGTAATTACAAAACGAAAACTAGGCGGAAGTTTGTGTAAATGATTAGCAAGCAAATAAGCAAGGTCATCTCTTTCTGGATAACCACATTCATCAAGAGCATCAAGCACAACTAACATTCGCTTGGGAACTTCTGAGATATTATAAAACAACTCGGTGAAAAGAAGAGAAAATAATCCTTCTACATTCATGTTATTCAAAGGCTCAGAGAGTTGACCAGAAAGTTTCTTCACAAGAAGTTGTTTGTAAGCAGGAAAATTACGACTAATTTGCATCGCCAAAGATTGAAGAAGTACATTGGCTTTATTGTAACGACTATTGTTGTGTTGAAAGAAATGAATTGCAGTCAAATATCGTGGATAACGTTTACATAAAGTAGCTGCAATTACAGACTTTCCCATACCAGCAACAGCAGAAATAACAAATGCACGATTTTGAGAAGTATCGCCTTTGAACCAAGCTAAAAATTCGTTAAAAATCCATTCACGAGTTCCATTTAAGTATTTTTCATAATGATGCCTAATTTCACTTTCAAAGTTACAGCTAACAAGGTTTTTTGTCAAAACATCTTCTTCTGAAACTAAAGTAAGTCCATGTCCACAAGCTTTGATTCTATTAATATCATCTCCTACTAATTCTAATTTATCTATCACTTTCACAACATTCGCACCGACATCCTTTAAGGTATTCTTACTTTCTTTGTGGTCTGATTTTAAAACTTCTAAATCATTCTTTAATTCATCCCATTCTCTCAAAATCCTTTTATATTCTTCATTACCATAGAAGTCACTCGTTATTCTATCTATTTCCTCCTGACTTATTCCTAAACGAACTAATGGTTCGCTTATTTTTACCCAAAAATCTTCAAATTCAGCAAAGCTTACTGAAGTGTTAGGTAAGTGAGCAAAATGATCATTACGAAATAACCTGATACGGGTAATATCTGCTTCAGTTGAATGATCATTGGGGTCATTTACTGACGTCCATATTGGATCACGAGGTGGTTTTAAACCACATATATTACGCAGGAGTATACAAAGTAAAGTAATGTCAAATTTATTTTCATTTGGTAATATTGAAGGATCTGGATACAGTTGATCCCATTGATGTTGATGGATTTGTCTATTCTTTAGACTTGAAAGTAATTGCGCATTTTCGGGATCATTTAAAACATTAAATAAATCAGTACCTGAGAGTTGTTTCCTCAATGTTATTCTCAAAGCTTCTCCACCAACATCAACAATTAATCTCATCAACTTAAAACCATTAGTTTTCATGTCCGAGCTCAAGACAGACATAATGTTGCTCCCTGCAGAAAAAAAGTAGGTAAGACTTCCATGATAATAAACAAAACCAGTTACAAGAAGGCAGAATAGTATTATCCATTAGACCATTAGATGGCAAACTGTTTTGAACTTTTACAAAATCTCTTAAAAGAGAATAATATGTGATTTGAACTGAGCAATCATTGAAATATAATGTTGCTTCTATAGCCTGGGCCACACTATCGTCTATATTGACGAAAACGAAAACGAAACGAAAATTCGTGCACGAAATGCATGCCAGACACGACGAAAAATTTCAAGCATGTTTGCAAAGCCAAAACGTTTTTGGCCAATAAGCAAGCGACATTTTTGACGGATTAGAAACAATAGCGATGTCTAAAAGAAAAAGATTACTTCTTCTTAAGAAAAGTTACTGCTTTTAAAGTTGAAAACAAGCAACAGCAAACGTCGATACCGGATTCATCCAATTAATAAACGACGTGATCGTCTTGGACTATTTAACAACTTGATTAAAGAATTACGAGAGCCGAACAATGAAAATAGACACATAAAATACTTGCGAATGACGAGGAAAAATTTTGACTACATTTTGGATTTAATTAAACCTCACAACACTAAAGTTGACAAACATCTTAGAAAGTCTATTAGCCCTGATTTAAAGCTTGCAGTCACACTGCATCATCTCGCAGAAGGTGCAAGCCACGCATCCATTGCCTATCACTACAGGTTAGGGAGATCTACTGTCTCAACAATAATTTATAATGTGTGTCAAGCATTATGGAGTGATCTTCAACCAAGGTATATGAAGGCTCCAAGTGGACCAGAAGAATGGAAAGAAATTGCCAAAGGGTAAGTGCTTGACGTGTGGAATGTTAATTTAGTTAATTTGGGAAACCAGTGGCCCACCTAAAATCTAACTAATTGCAATCAAACTATGCTATATAAAATAAAATATGACATGGGTATAAAATTTGTGTATACCATAGTTTTGAAAGGTGGAATGTTCCAAATTGAATTGTAAGCATCGATGGGAAGCATGTATCTATCAAGAAGCCAAAACACAGTGGATCAGAATTTCACAACTACAAGCACAAACTATGGAAACAATAGAGTACTATTCATAAATTTTAGGCATCCTTGCTCAGCGATGGCGGTTATTGTTCAGAACAATAATTGCTGAACCAGAAAAGGCAGCATTGTTAGTTAAAGCAAAATGTGTTTTGCACAACATGTTACGAACTGTTGGTGATCCATCTTATACACCTCCAGGATTTTCAGATTTCATAACTCCGGATGGGCATCTGTGCAATGGATTCTGGCGAAGGCAATCCAATGCAGAGCTGGAAAGTGCTGTAAGGCTGGCAGGCAAAAATTCCACAGCTGAAGCAATTTCTGTACGTCAACACTTTACGGAGTATTTTGTTAGTGAGCATGGTTCAGTTGAGTGGCAATGGGCTTACATAAATCAACGCTGAACACTTTTCCTTGTAATTAATTTTTGTCAAAATAAACTTGAACCTTTAAAATCCATCTTTTTTTGTTTGTGTCTTAACACATGATGAATTATTATATATATATTTTAAAAATCACTTTAACAACAGATACTTAAGATAAATTAATTGAAGGATAATCACTTTGTACATCATTGTTTGTGGGTTGAGCAATGCTGGTCGGCAGGAAGTTTTGTTGCATTGTTTGGGGCAAAACTTGAAGAGAAGTTGATTGCGATGAAAAAGAATTAGAGTAGCTTGGTTCTCTAGGAGTAAAATACTCAGCATTAAACACTGCAACTTCAATTTGTCTCTTGGCAATGCTCATTTGATAGTGGGATAGCTTCCTTAATCGAGTTGCAATCCCATACAGAAAAAATGGGCATCATCTTCCTCATGATTCAATTGCTGGTCTATGGACTTAAGCATCTCATCATAATCCATGGAGCTTTTCCTCTTGCATGCTTTCTTGGTTTTTCGTGCAAGTGTTGGAGCTGTTGAAGTTGGTGTTGTTATTGATGGTGATGCTGATGGTGAAGGTATGGGTGAGGGTGAACTGGGTGAGTTTACAAGAGATGATGATGTAGATGGTTCGTTTGATGACTGAGCTGATGTAATCGCAGGAAAGGTTGTTGGAGTATTTAATACATCCAAATTATTGACTGGAGAAGGCGCAACTGTTCGTCTATGTAGACTAGATGACGTGCTATAGTTAACAAATTAAATAAACTTTCATTTATAATTAAAAAATTGAAATAATATTAAACAAAGAGCAAACCTTCTTTTTCTGTTAAAATCCAAATACCAATCAAAGTGTCGCCACCATTTCCAATTCGGCTCTTCAGTGGCAGCAGCACCACTAGCTCTTCGAAGATCGTACTGCCTTTTGTACTGCATGAATGAATCACGCAGATTAGCCCACTTTTTCATAATAGTATCAACTGTAAAATGTTTAAAAAATAAAGGAAATGCATGATTTGATATAAAAAGTGTGTCGGCGGACTATCAATAATACTCACTATCCCACGCCAAGTCCGTAATTTTATTAAATTCATCTAAAAAATCTTGCCAGTGATTTCTTTTCTTGTTCCTCGAGTCCTTATAATCCGGGTGACTTTTATCATACAAAATTGGTTTTTCTCGCATCGGATTTAGCAAAACCTCTTGCCACTCCGCCATGTTTGAGTACAAAGTCTGATATTATCAAGATATTATTAGCCAATAGTATGCGTTTTCGTTGACTAAAAAGGTCAAAAGTTCAACTCTTCTAATATGCACGAAAACGAAATTTTCGTCGAGTTTTCGTTCTAATTTTCGTCAATATGAACTATAGCGTGGCCTAGGCTTAAGACTACAAAATTTCTTTCCCCTAAGGAAAATATAAACACCTTTTTCTACAAGTTTGAAAATTTTACTATCCGACGAATAATGCTATCCAGGCTTCGTGCAATCGTCCCCAGATATACGAGGTACATAAAAAATAGGTACAAGTGTGTACATATGGGTAGCCTTGACCAGAGTTATAGTAAATGGAACAAATAGTAGTCAGTAGTCCAACTGCTTAGTGTTATGTTTTTCATTAAATTAGTTGAAGCCCCAAGGCCATTACCAAGGCAATAATAACATAATAATTTCTGTAATAATAACATATGAAAAATGACAAAAAATATTTTCATGTCAAAATGCCACAAAATGAAATCATTCCTTCCTTTGGCACTCCTCTTTTGTACAAAACGTTCTATGTGCTCAATGTTTAATAAAAATGCCCAGTAATAATCATTATCTTTCCTTTTTATTGCTCTCCTACGCTCAGTGCATGTTATGTGTGCTGGTCTTCACGTGCTAAATCGTGCAAAGGAAGTTTGTAAAAAGCAATATAGTTCCCATGTCTATGTTCCATAAATCTCATAAATTTTAATGATAGAATGATAGATCTCATTTGTCGAAATACATTTTTTCCTAATGGTTTCGTTAACATATCAGCAACCATTTGTTGTGACGTACAATACTCAAGTGCAATTTCTTTCTTCAGTATTTTGTCGCGAATGAAATGATATTTTATGTCAATGTGTTTCGTTTTTGGATGGTATTTCTGATTTTTCGACAAACTTATTGCTCTTTGATTATCCTCTTTTATGATAGTTGGTTTCTTTTGAGTGAAGTTTAAATCACCTAATAATCCTCTTAACCATATTGCTTCTTGACATGCTTGTGATGCTGTAACATACTCAGCTTCAGTAGATGAGAGAGCTACAATACTTTGCTTTTTGCTTGCCCAACTTACCAATCCACCACAAATCATGAATAGGTATCCTGAATGTGATTTTCGATTATTTGGATCACATCCCCAATCAGCATGAACAAATCCACTCAATTTGACTTCAGATTCCTTATGTCCATCAAAGCAAATGCCGTAGTTAATCGTACCTTTAATGTAACGTAAAATACGTTTGGCAGCATTCCAATGGTCTTGGCTAGGGTTAGCACAGAATTTATTAACTGTTGAAAGTGCTTGTGCCAGGTCTGGTCTTGTCGCTGTAACTGCATACGTTAATGCACCAATTAATGCTTGATATTTGGTTATGTTCATTGGCTCTCCTTCATTATTCAACAACTTGGTTCCGAGCTCAACGAGGGTTGCAACAGGTTTGCAGTCTTGAATTCCAAATCTCTTAAATAAATTCGTCAAATACTTTGATTGATGAAATCGCATTTGTTTCTTTTCCCTGTCTCGTTGAATTTGAATGCCAAGACAGAAATGAATTTCACCTAGATCTTTCATTTCAAAGTGTTTCTTTAAAATACCTTTCTCCTCATCTAGCATTTTCTTGTTGTTACTTGCAAGAATCAAATCATCGACGTATAACGCTAAAAGCATGATAATATCTCATTTCGTTTAATGTACAGGCACGGATCAGAATTGGATTGAACATAAGCGGATTTCTTTAAGAACTGATCAATGGTATCGAACCAGCATCTCGAAGATTGCTTCAAGCCATATATGCTTTTGTTTAATTTACAGACCTTCTGTTCTTGTCCCTTTTCTCATATCCTTCAGGTTGCTTCATGTATATTTCCTCTTTAAGTTCGCCGTTCAGAAATGCCGTTGAAACATCCATTTGGTGTACGCCAAAATCTAACCGATTAGCAATTGCCAAAAGAGAGCGAATTGATGTATATTTTGCTACTGGAGAAAATGTTTCTTCATAATCCAAACCATATTATTGTAAGTATCCTTTAGCAACTAACCGAACAAATGTGCATTTCTTGGTTTTGGAGTCCCATTTCTTCCTTGTTTCCTTAGGAACGTGCATGTAAGCTGTGCAACCAAAAATTTTCAGATGTGAAACATCAGGTTTCTTTGAATGGAAACATTCGTAAGGTGTAACTCCGTTCACGGATACAGTAGGACTTCGATTTCTTAAGATGATTGCAGTATGAACTGCTTCAGCCCAGATTTTCTTTGGTAGTTTTGCGTTGTTCAGCATAGATCGTGCAGCTTCTTGAATGGTTCTGTTCATTCTTTCAGAAACTCCGTTCTGTTGTGGCGTTCTTGGAACACTGAATTGATGCTGAATTCCCTTATCCTTTAGATATTTTTCAAACATGTGACAACTGTACTCACCACCGTTATCTGATCGACGTACTTTAATTTTCTTGTTAGTGAGATTGGTCACCATTGCTTCAAACTCTTTAACTTTCTCAAAAGCTTCATCCTTTCTCTTCATAAAGTAGACTGTTGTGTACCTTGATTTATCATCAATAAATGTTATGAAATATTTATTTCCAGCAAGACTTGTTTCTTCCATCGGTCATCAAACATCGCTATGGACAAGATCAAATACATCTTTAGCACGCGTTGCAGGTTCTCAAGGAAAGGTTGCTCGTATCTGCTTTCCTTGTGCACATCCTTCACAAACTTCAAAGTGATCATCGGATTGAAAATTAAATCTTTAACCAATTTTTTATATCGAAGTAGACGTAAATTCTTCAGGCTTAGATGGCCATACCATATTTCTTCGCTAGTATCACTTGTAGAAACATTCGCATGCTTCGAATCATCCTGTTCTTCTTTAAAATCAAGAACATACAGGTTAATCATCATTCTTCCTGATCCAGATATAGTTCTATTTTCATCAAGTATCAAGCAAGTGTGTTGATTAAATTCAACTGAGTATCCTCGTTTTGCCGTAGCACTAACTGAGAAGAGATTTTTTCCTAAATCTGGAACATATAGAACGTCAACCAATCTTCTTGGTTCATGATTCTTCTTAGACTTAATCTCAATGTGTGCATTTCCTTTTCCCAGTGCTTGAACTATTCTGTCATCTCCTAGCTTTACCTTTTCAGGGAATTTAAATGGGATGAAATCGACCATGATGTCCTTATTATATGACATATGAGATGATGCCCCTGAATCAATGTACCATGCAGATTCTTTGCTATCTGTAAACAATGATGAATTCTGAACTGTGGCTCCGTAGGATGCTTCTTCCCTTTTATTTCTATTGTCACTTCGCTGATTTTGTTTGGGTTTGCAACATTCTCTAGCCCAATGTCCAGGTAACCCGCAGTTATGGCATTTACCTTTTCTTTTGAATTTGGTATTCTTTACTTTGTCGTTTTTGGACTTTTGACATAGTAGTGCTTTCTCACCAATATCCTTACTTTCGTTGGATTCTTTACGTTTCTGTTCTTCATGAAGAAGTCTAGCAGTAACGAATTCTAATGATAAGTCATCCGCTCTAGATTCCAATGCTGTTATTAAATCACTGTACGCATCAGGTAAACTACCAAGGAGTGTCGCCACTTGATCTTCCTAAGAAACAGACGCACCCAATGCTTCTAATTGACTTGCAATATCCTTCATCTTGTTGAGATGTTCGGTCATGGAATCATCAGGACCCACACTTGTAGTGAAATATTTCTTTCGCAAGAATAACTTATTGGCCAAAGATTTGACTTCATAATGACTTTCTAATTTCGCCCAAGCATCTTTTACAGTACGCGCTGATCGAACGAGCGATAGCTGTTCATCGCCGAGAGACAAACATATTGTTGCAAATGCTTTCCTTTCCCGCCTTTGATATTGTCCACGTTGAGTATCAGTAGTTCCTTCACCATTAGGTTCTACCTCATCGCCAATAACTATTTGCCAGAGATCCTTCTCTTCAAGTATCATCTGCATCTCAAACTTCCAAAGGTGAAAGTTTTAACCATTGAACTTTTCGATCCGTGTAAATGCTTCGTCATTTCCCGAAGTCGCCATATTCAATATTTCGCACTTATGTAAGTTATATTCTCAAGAAATCGCGATATCTCATATACTTTCCGTATTTGCCGTCATAAACAGAAATTAAAACGCTCCTGGGCCCATAACCTGTTAAATTATTCGAGATTCTGCAATAACGCTCGGAAAATGTGTGAAATATTAGGATTTATATTTCTGAACAAAATAACAAGTATCTGCGAACGACGATATTACCATAACAAGTACTGAATGTCACTTAATATGACATGTGTCATATCTACTTAATGCTATATTGTTTATGTTTTTTGCGTGATATTTATATCTTAACGTTAAGTTGTGCCTCAGTCAGCATTGACTTGATAGCAATTGAATACACGGCTCGGGTAGCACGAGTTCCTTGGATGACGTCAGAAAATTAGCTAGTTTCAGACTCCTCATTATCACGGACATGCTTCACAAGAATATACGATTTTAGTGAATTTAACGCTTTTACAAAAATCAAACGATTTGACCAAATTCAAAATTTTTAGTGAGATTATTATTCTCAAAAAATAGGCAAACTACATGAAATCATGAAATAGCTAGAAATGCTGGCTGGAAAACAACAAATGCTTATCAAGAATAACAAAGCAAACTAGTTTTAAGGTCGAATCACACCTACATTAGTTAAAGTCTTAAGTAAATTTTAAATGAAAAAAACTGTTTTTCCTACAGTAATTACTTTAACTTGCATGTTTATTATATCGAAAAGGACAAGAGAAAGAAGCATTTATGTATTTCAACTTTAATGAAATCGATGTCATTGTTTGTTACTTGAAAACCATTAAATTTGGTGCAACTGTTAGTTTATTACATGGTTTACTGACAAATTTTCGGATCCTACAAAACCGAGCCTGTGAACCCAAAAAATGTGAGCCTCCTACAGTCTGATATGTCCATCTAAAAATCGTATGAAAATAGAGCTTGTTCTATTTTCATCAAACA